CTACGCATTTATTCGTGCATCGTTGTGTACGATTTTAAAATCTGTCGAATGTATATAGAGATTGCATTCAGTACATGCAATTTTTACCTTATTTTGCTTTCCTCAATCACGCTTTTCGTGATTGATTAGATGAATACATATGTAACTAATTATATTCATTTAAAACAGTACATTTCAACATTGAATATGTAAAAATATTTTTAAATTTGCGTAGGGTGAAAATATTTTTTTTTGCATATCTTTACGTTTTAAAGTCTTCTGAACATTCTGGCATACCTCAGAAAAAATTATATAATGTATGCATGTGTACATATGTGCGGATATAAATTTTCGTTCGGGATTTCGAAAGCACAGATTAAAAAAATTGAAAGATTCAAAAAGCACTCGACTTCTCTTGATGACGAAACCTGCTGATTAGTTTTTCGCAAAGCCATTTCGATGATTCTGGACAAAAAGCGCAAAAAATATCAATTTTGTTTTTGAAAAAAAACGGAACGTACGATTTGAATAATTCAAAAAACATTCCACTTGTATTGACATATTGAAGAATTGGTTAAATTTTTGGAAGACAAGTCCAGCGGTTTTAAAGATCCAGAAAAACAATTAAAATTAAAGTTAAATATGATCATTGAACATAAGTACATCAAATTACCAGATATTATTTTATGAAGGTTTTAATAAGCTTTTTTTTCAATTCAATGGGTTCAAACCAAGTTCAAACAAATAAGTTTTCGAGATTTTTGACAGTATGGATCAACAGGCTTGATAAAGTTTTAAAGAAATGATTTCAAATTTTTCAAATGTTCTTTAGATTTTCAAAAAAATCTATATTAAAAAAATATCAAATCTCAAAAATCTGATTTATTAAAAACGTCTATAGATAGCACACATTCTTTTGTAAAAGCTACGTAAATTGTGTAAATATATGATGTAAAATGTGTACTATGATACTATATTATGATAATACCAGTTCTATGAAATGTATTATCTTCAAATTAAATAAACAATTAAATTTTGCTCTACGTTCGACAAAGAAACAAAACTAGTGGTGATGACATTGGCATTTTAGGCAATATGATTAAACATTTGTGGAAGAAAAATTAATATTAATGTTAATAAAATATTAATATTAAAAAAATCACAATAACTAAGTTCATATATATAAAAACAACATATTTATGGATGAATCTACCTCGAACAACACACACCCACATATATATTTGTTGTATTCATTTATGATAAATTCAACGCTTATTATAGTTTTCTTCCGGATTACTTTTAATTGAAGTTTGTGAAAAACCATATATTTCAAATAGACAAGACATATTACAAATCATGCTTCATACTACGAAAATGCAAGCAGTATTTTGCTTAAATTTAATATTGCTGTTAAAAAAAGTACCTAATACTATTCAATACTTTTGAGTTGAATAGCTAGATATCGAAATACAAACAAGATCCAGATAATAGATTCATTCAGTACCTGTATCTTATGAGAGTGGTTAAAAGGTTCAAATTGATATTAATTACTTATTACATTACATAGTTACTATTACATCATAAAAATCCGTTTAAAAATCGGTTAAAAATCAGACAATCCATTTATCAGATTTGAAACTTTGTAATTTTTTAATTATTATAATATCGCAAACATCTTGCTTCTGTACTGTAATCTGAAATTTAAACCCTTTTAGCATAAACCGATTAATAGCACACCATGTGGTATGGGTTGTTGTATCCTAGAGAGGTGCTTGTTTTGTATCCTGTGTAACGGCACGATGTTCATATCGCAGCAGCGTGCGCGAGCTTTCAATATAATTCAGTTTTGGATTAGTTTGCGTAATCCAAATCAAGCCGCACATTTCTGGGGAAATCAAAAGGGCCATCAGCTCTGTACATATACTAACGAGACAGGTATCTGCAGTTCACGATATCCAATGTATAAAATGAAATATGCAATATTAGTTAATAATATTCAATCCCTGTTGTATGTCGAGTGCTAATGAAAACTTATGAATATATTATTTAAAAATATTATTTTTGGAACTGTTTTACTAATTTTAATGCTTTTATCCTTGGTACCCATTTTGCCGTAAGCTCATTCTTTCATCTATCTATCCATCTGTCACAGATGTTTTTTTTTCTCACTGAAATAAAATTGTTTTAAAAATTTTGACAAAATTAGCAAAATTAAATATTCCTAATACTATAACTTTGCAATTTTAAGATTTATCTTGCACCTGTTTGATATGTTGAAAAGCCTGCATCTGCAGTCAGAGATAATTAACACCCCGCGTAGGGTAAGTGATAATAATCGCAAAGGAATCAAAAAGAAAATTTTAGCATATTTTTATTTTTTCGAGGTTTTTGAGCTTTATCATTCGAAAAAATTGATGTATTTGTGTATGGGTGTAGTGTTTATGTACGTGCGGGTACAATTTTTAGCCGACGTTTTTGAGAACAAGCATCAACCGATTTAAATGATTTAGAAAACATGCGATTTGTATTAATGAGACAACAACGTGCTGATTAGTTTCTGGCAAAGGCAGGTCCGGCCGTTTTATGGTACGGGGCAAATAGTGGCAAAATTTGCAATTAAATTTTTGAGAGGACAATGCGTCAGATGTAAATGATTCAAAAAGCATATCACTTGTATTGACATAATGAAGAACTGTAAAATTTTTTGAAAGACAGGGTCAGCGGTTTTGTAGATCCAATAAAAAGTTTAAAAAAAGCCAAATTGGGGGTCAAAAATTATCAATAGACAAATGCACACAATTTTCAGATATCTTATAAAGATTTTAATAGGTACAAATATTGTTTTGTATGAATTTCTATAGGTTCCGTACCAAGATTTATTATGTTTAACCGTTGGTCTGCAAAGCGGCGCTTACGCGCTTATATACTTCGTTTCTAAAACAGAGATTGATTACGGTACGGGTAGTTTCAGCAATTTGCCTTGAAGCACAATGCCATGCACCTCTAGTTTCAATTTTGTATCATCGTTACGAACAAGTCTATAATATTCTCATTATTTTCTATGTTTTGGTTGCGCAACTATCAAAATTTTTTTTACTAGAGTTTCAAATATTGATCTATAGGAGTAACAAAACTTCATAGCCAACTATAGTAATCTTATGAGAACATTTGTAATTTATATTACATATATTTTGTATTTTCTACTCTCTGTAGAGTTAGTTACCCAGTAATACATCCTAGAATTGCAAACTTTGGTATGCAGTAGATATTTAAGTCTTCATGTTCTTCCAAACTCAAAACACAAATATTAACAATTTTATAATAATCAAGTGTCCAAAATTCTCATTATTTTCTATGTTTTGGTTGCGCAACTATCAAAATTTTTTTTACTAGAGTTTCAAATATTGATCTATAGGAGTAACAAAACTTCATAGCCAACTATAGTAATCTTATGAGAACATTTGTAATTTATATTACATATATTTTGTATTTTCTACTCTCTGTAGAGTTAGTTACCCAGTAATACATCCTAGAATTGCAAACTTTGGTATGTAGTAGATATTTAAGTCTTCATGTTCTTCCAAACTCAAAACACAAATATTAACAATTTTATAATAATCAAGTGTCCAAAGTTCTGAGGATCATTAAAATTGCAGAAACTCAGTGAATGATTGGCACATTTTATAAATTGTTGTCTCAGAATTTTATTAAGGAATTAATTTCAAAAACATCACATTAATCATATAAATTTTATTATTAATTCGATTTTACATTTTACGTGGTACATAGTTTAAAAATAACTTTTGACTAATCATAACTATATTTAAACATTTTTATCATAATTATAATTATACATAATTTTTTAAATATACACAAATATTGCACGTTAGTCCAAGACCCTAAGCTTGTTTAAAATATACTGCCTTTATCTTCTAAAATATATCAATTGAATTTGTAATTGATTTAAATAATTACAAAAACTTCATATGTACTAATATCAGAATCACACACTCATTGCACATTTCTCTTACATTTAAAATACTTTCTTCTTTCAAATAAGTCACTGAATATTTTATTTCGCAAGTAAATGTAAAATAAAAATAATTTTTAAAATATTAAGTTTCATTCTTATTAATTTTTTATCTAAAGTAATATTAAACAAAATTCGGATTATTTTACATCACTTTCAAAATGTGTACCATTAATTAATAATACTTTTAACATGCTTATTGCATTCCTATTTAAGTAAACATTTTGTTTCTTAATTTAATTATATATACATATACAAATGCATTTGTTGAACCCAGCCAAATGCTAGTTACAAGATTGTTTATAAATTATTTTATTAGTTTGTAGAATACTATAAATAAAAATTAATAATTACATAACTATACATAACGTTTATTGATATATTTTCTAAATTCAAACTTCATAATCATTCTTTGTGCACTGGTCGTCTTTACTTACTGGTTCAAAGATCAGTAAAAACTGGTGTTTCTTGTGAGACTGGAGCGCTTTCCCACGATGGATCTAAGAGAATGTCATGTTCTGATGAATTTTCACCATCCCCATAAAGCGTTTGGTTTTGGGGCGAAACTTGCTGCTCAATTTGTGCTTGTACTTGATGTTGCTGGTGTTGTTGCTGTTGGTCTACTGCTTGCATTTGTTGTTGCAATAGAATACTACTGGCATAGTTTGGTGGAGGTTGTTGATAGCTCATCTGTTGCTGAATGGGTGTATCATTTTGGAAGTTTTTTGCATTAAAATATTCGGCAATTGATTCTAAATCTTGAGATTGAATTGGCATTCTGTTAATAGTATTTGATTTGATATTGTTATTGTTGTTGTAATTAGTCATTACACCGCCTGCGTAGACCGTTGGCTTGTAGATCTGGTATGGTTTGTGACGAAGAGCTGCACTGGTGTATCCTCTGGTGGCACTTACGTACGAAGGTAGAGTTTGTCCATGGGGAGAATGGGCCATCAATCTGTTTACAATCTGCTGATCACTTGTGAGCGTGTTACTCACCGAGCGAGATTTTCCACCAGGGCCTGGACTCGGGTTTGATCCCGATGAAGGCGAGGGCGAAGCTGCGTTATCGGAATCCACAGAATTATGATTTGATGAAGATGATTTAGTTTTATGTTCCTTCTTGTATTTCATGCGACGATTTTGGAACCAGATCTTAATTTGACGTTCTGTGAGCGTCAGGTGATTTGCTAACTCTATGCGTCTTGGACGACAAAGATACTTGTTGAATTGAAACTCCTTTTCAAGTTCGACAAGTTGAGCACTCGTATATGCAGTTCTAGCTCGTTTCGACGATGCCATCGAATTGTTAGTCATTGGTTCCAAATTAAAATCTGTAATAAAAAGTATATAACATTAATAACGTTCTATTTAAAATTACTTTAATTGCATATTAAAAGTATCGAAGAATATCGTAGTAAAACAGTAAGAAAATTTCATTTAACTGCAGCCATATATTATCATATCTCAAGTGGTTTGTCTCTTTCCCATGCTTTGTTTCAAAATAACAAACTTTTTAAAAGTTATCCTATTTCACAAAATCAAACTCGTATGCTCGGCTTGAAATATTTCAGAGCCCGTTTAGAATTTTGTTTTATTCATAAACCCCTATATATGTATTTTATCCTTAGGGGGCGAAGGTTTCTTCGATACCAAGGGATATATATTTATATTTATATTCAACGAAAATATTAAAATTGAGAGCTGTTTAAGGAAATCGTGCTTGAAGTATGTATTGATAGAAAATCTCATTGTTTTAGGGCACGTTGCAGGTAGTAAATTATGATTTAAGGTACTCAAATGTACAGAAACATTTTTTTATACTTAACAGTAATAAACTTGAATTTTCTAATATCGGTACAATTACCAATAGTATTCATCTTATACTCCAAATGAAAAAAAATCATCCAACATAATATACACATCTCAATAGGTCTTTACGTGTTTCTACCTATGCGTTTTTTTACCTATACTTTCTGGTTAATTAAACACGTCAAAACAAATATCTGTAAATCATATTTACACTGTGAAAGTGAAACATAATTGATACACTCGAATCTCTAACAATGACTCAGCATCCCTTTATCACACGATTCACTCAGCACGTAGTTGAAGTAAGGATACCTGAGCCTTTCGTCCTTGGGTATTCCAAAAACTGTGAAAACAATAAGCGGTATCCCGCCCCAATCCCGAAGAAGACGCGCAAAACATCGTACGAGCTAACAGCCGGCACAACGTTGACAAATTTATAGCTTTATTGCCTATAGAACATCATAATCTTATTTGGCGAACAAGCTCACGGGTTATTTGCCGGGATTACATCTTACAAGTACATTAATCTTGTAAAATAAGACAATGCTCCGTGCGTTGCGGAGCGGCCGGATTCTGATTGACAAGTCGGAGCCGGGCTCTTCGTCTCGCTTGCCGAAGGTGGTGCCTTGAATGAGTTAGAAAAGGACTTTCGAGTACAGCTCACCCACGAGGGTGAATCTTTGGGCCAAATACCCCGCTGGATTGTGTAAACACAAAACAATAAGTGAATGTGTACGCGCCATTGGATTTCCAAAAGGGTTTTCTAAGATCTCACGACGGGTTGTCTCCTGTCTACACCTTTAGAGTCTTGAATCATACTCTAGACTTGCGTTAACATTCGCTAACGATGTGTAGTTAGTTTCATCGATGTAGAACGTCTTTACTTGACACCGTGTGCTTGTGAATAATTTTATAGTTGAGGATTTAGGTCATTTTCTTAACTTTGCGAACAAAGTTTGCTTTTACCTGTACCACCTTATTATGCGTAGGGTGCTTTTCCATCTTTTAGAAAGTGTTATATACATGCGAATAAAGTAAAATTATTATTGATTAAATAGGAAACATGAGCCAAAATATCCTGTCAAATAATAGAGAATTATTTTATTTCTAATAAGCTTAAACTGCTTAAAATTTTTGAAAACTATTATTAATATTACAAATAATTATTTGGATATGAGATGCCCAATGAAATTACGAATAATACTATGTATAATTCTTGTATATATTGTGTCTCACTATATTTTTTTGTGATTTTCCAATTTATCTGAAATTTCAGTAGTCTGACTAGCTTATAGATAATAAATAAATTTTATTATTACAAGTGTTGTAATGGAGAAAATATTTTATTAACGCTGTAAAGCCGATAGAGGTCTATGTTCACTTGGAAACATATTGCTATCTATGTTTCCAAATGAAAACCGATGTTACTTTGTGCTTGACCTCTGATTCCAAGGTCCAGTCGTTTTACCCACTAGTTGAGCTTTTTTATCAAAATATTCAACTTTTACCGAAAAGTTCTGATAGTATGTTTTAAATCCTAAAATTATTGTAAATGTTTAGCTTGTCATACTCACTTCTTACGATAATACACAATATTTACATTTTTTTTTAAATTTTTTAAAAATTATTTTGGAACAACAATCATTGCTAATTGACTTAATACTAGTCTGTTTGATCCATACATCTTTGTATGATATATCATTATTACAATTTCTGTAATAGGGCAGCAATTTATTGGTGCAGCAATGCCGGGTGAGGGCTATTTTCACTTGGAAACATATTGCTATCTATATTTGAAGTGAAAATCTTTGTCACTGCTGCCTGATAACAGGCTGCTCGAAATGGGTTTCGAACCCGTAACCTCTGATTCATGTCCAATATTTACGTTATTCGTTTATCCGTGTAATATTTTTATATTTGCATGTTAATGCAGTTTCGCGCGGAAATTTTCATCAGCCGGCCTTAAATTTCATTTTCGTGTTGATTCAATTTATGTTATGTAGCGATAACCCTACCATTTGATAATTAATAACGCAGTGGACACCGTGCGCATTTTGCGGAGCAATAAAATCCAAGGGATTTTGACCGACCTGTCAGCGCAAGCCTGTGCGGTCGCACGCGCTCATGTTTACAAGTGTGGTTCCTCATAATTCGCCTAATTCCTAGGCGCAAATTGTGCCATAAATGTCATTCGTGGATAACTATTATACCAGTTACTTTTTGAGAGGGGGATCCTGAAGTAGTTACAACAACGAGGTACTTATTTTAGATGTGTTATATGTTGTCTGTTATATTAAGTACAATTGCTGCACCGGGAGTCAGTAAATTCTTACTAATTTGTTACTAATGAGAACCTCGAATACTACCAATAATTTGCACATGATCACTTGACCAAAATTTTTAATCTATCGCATTCTAATGCCACTGCTCCGGCGGCATAGTACGTGTTACTTTTGCAATATACTAGTAGAAAGGTATACTAACAAGAGGAACCTCAGGTTTACTCTTCTGGAATTTTGATAAAACTTTGCATGGTAATAGAGTTTATAGTCGAAGCCGACACCTTCAAATATTATAGGCCTATGAGAAGTAGCATAATTATAAAAATTAATTGAAGTTGCGAAGAATAGACCACGCGTTATACTTTCCCGTGTAGTGTTTTCTATCGATATGTCTCGATAGCTGTATCACTTAAAAATTATCGGGTTCAAATCCCATCAGCTTATAATTATTTTTTTTAATTCATTTTTTTTGTTTAAATGGTTCAATACTCCAAAAATATTTATAATTATTAACTCATTTCATATATTTTGCGAACAAAAATTGATCAAACAAATCTAAATGCAAGTCACAATAGAAAATAAACTCCTAATATACAAGACAATTATTAAACCAATATGGTCCTACGGCCTACAACTATGGGGTGCGGACAGTAAATCGAACATAACTATTCTACAAAGGTTCCAAAATAAAATTTTGAAAGAAATCGTGAACGCTCCAAAATACGTTCCCAATTGGTTGATACATCAAGATCTCAGAATTCGAACTATAGCTATAGCTAAAACTAAAATAAGTACTGAATCTAGGCTAGAATATTACTGGAGATTGCATATGATTTTTGTAGATTGCATTCATTATCACCCTTCTGACTGTTTTTTTTTCCTTTTTTTTTTGCAAATTGGGTTTTTGTTGTGAATATTGAACCCGCCGCATTTAAAGCACACCGGTGCGACGGAACAGCAGTAAGTTATCATTATTTAACGATTTTGCGACTAAACTTCAACCGCAACAATTTATACGCTCCCACAATTACACACGACGCATATGTATGCTCGGCCGCTTCTCTAGTAAGGGCGCATGTATGGTAATCGGATATTTGCGAAGAGACAATATTTTGCAATACTTAACACAAAAGTACATTACAATTCATAAAATCATAGAAATATATAAAATCATAAATACATAACAGGTTGTTTTTTTGTTTCTCAAGATCAGTAATTCCCAAAGTGATCTACCTAGACCTCCAGGAGTACATGACAATATTCAAAGTGTCCACGTCAGCAAAGAATAAATTTCGGGGTCCACGAAATAAAAATGGAGGACATTTCTATTTACTTATATTATCTATAAGGTCATATAGAATACTTATTAATTAAACTAAAAACTAAATGTTGTTCATCTTTTATGAAAATGTGTAAGAAGGAACATAAGTAGGAATTTGATTTGCGGTCGCAATATGGTTGAGCTTCTAAATATCGTATTTGCTAACTATTGACGAGATTGACAAACGTTTTTTGAGACTATCGTAGCATTTCTGAATACTATAAATAAAAAACTACCTAATTGTAGAAAGAAGGGCTAGCGTTATCACTTATCTCCCAACAAATGGAGATATAGACTGGACATAATTATACGGGAGATTAAAGCTTAAACCTTACGAAACTGCTGCCAAATGTTAACTAAACACTTACTTTATTTTTTTATCACTTTTAATTTATTTAATAAATGTTTACACATAATATGTATTTTTGCTTCAGTGCAGTTAGTTTATAAAGAAAATTGATCCACGATATAAAAGTTTGAAAACTTTTTTTCTAGATATATAAAAGAACGTTATGAATAAAAAATATCAATCTTCATATATAAAATCGTATAAAATTTTTGCTCTTCGCTCTACTTCATAATCGTAGTCGTACCCTCAGAATATTCACATAATCACATCAAGCGCATCTGACTCTTTTAACTGCCTTGTTGACAGTTGCATCTGCCTTATAATTGTTGGACACAGCCAGTGCGTAACAACAAAAACGACATTGCATTATTTTATTCTGTGCAAATTATGTGACAAAAATAATGCTGTAATTTGCAAAAAAAAATGAAAGAAATATGCACTGGGATTTAACGAAACGTGTTATATCCAACCTGGTTAAGGTAAAGTAGGTATGAAAATCATTATAGTGTAATAAATCGTTAATTTTAATGAATATTAATATATGAGGTATTGATCATAACTATCATGTAA